TGTGTTTTGCATCTAATTGTTTTAGTAGTTAATTTCACAATAGGTTTCAAGGGATAGTCCAACTATTGGTCCCTCCTTACCCTCCACTACGCTCCAAGCAGAGGTTGTGGGGGAATGATCTTTACCTTTTTAGATATGGCCGTTTGTTTGTTTGTTTGTTTGTTTGTTTGTTTGTTTGTTTTTGTCTCTACCCCCACCCCCGTTGGTGGCCGGTGAACTTCTCTGGCTAATGAATACTGCCTGCCAATTTGATACTGTATTTTTGCCACCGATAGGGATCTGCTTGGAGTAACCCTCCACCAGGCCTTCCTACGGGGGTATGGATCGTAGATCGGAGTGCAAAAAAAAACCCCGATAAAAAAGCCTAAAAACACGCTAAAAATAACCCCAAACCTCTGCTTGGAGAGTACAACCGAGCCCGAACTGCTAGCTTCACGGCCGGGGCTGGGTAACTCCCACGATTTTCAAGTATTCAAAGACTTCCATCTTCGTTTTCGCCTTGTCTGAAGTCGTTAAAAGTGATGTGGGTAGACTACCTGAGCGTCCAGGCCAGCTCCCTTCCCGCCGGGACTGTTTTATAGCCCGCACACTTGTAGCTGAGGTTGCCATGCCAACCGTGTCTGCCCGCAGGGCGCAGGCGCTTCATCATCACCATGGTAACGTCAGCGGTGCGCGGGGGGTGTCGGGAGGGTTGGTATTGAGAAAGCCGTTTCCTTGGAGCGACTAGTCTGCAACAAACTCTCTGTATAGCCTCTACCAGGCTTGGGGAGGCGGCTGGAAAGAGTAGTAATCGGCCGTTCTCTCAACGGACAAACTCCCTTGGCATGCTTATCTCTCTATTTGGTCGATTTCTACTCTTTCCAGCCGTCTCCCCAAGCCTGGTAGAGGCTAGGACATTATGATTGATATAAACGTGCTTTTTAGAGTGTTTAAAGTCACAAACTAGAGGCTAGCATGACAGAATATCAGTCCTAGTGGGCTCAAAAATATTCCCTGCAATAATTTGCGTAACTGAGCAGGTGTAATGTTTGTATCGACCTTGTGTTAAAGGTGGGACATAACGTCTTCCATGGTTTACAGAAGAGAAGTCAAACCCTTCAGACATAGTTTTAGACATAGTTATAGTTCTAGACAGCTACCTTTATCATGTAGACTTTACTTACTTTATACTCTATTTCATTGTTCTTTTATGTTTTGTAATTTGCAATTAGCCTCCGGGCAAGAATTTGCAATAAACTTTTCATTTATAAGACACGCGTTCCTTTGCGGTCATGACAGTGCGACTGTGGTGTCTTCTCTTGTTTATTGGTATTGTCTGGAGCTCTAGAAGCGACAGTACATGGTGTATTCAGAAAGGATAGTCACGAGGCCTCATAGTGTACACTTTCCAGAGGTACCGGTGTAGTCTGGCATGATTCTATCTAAGCTCCAGCTCCCCGCCAAGATAGCGACATATCATGACACAGACTTCTTTTGGCGGGGAGCTGGAGCTTCTCTGGTCGGCTACCTTCTCTGGTCAATTAATACCCTTTTTAGGCCGATTTCTACGATTTATGATTTATTCACCCCGCAAAAGAAGTCTGGAGGAGACTACTGTTTCCCTTCGTTCCATATTTCAGTTGGAGGAGCGACAAGAAGTTGAACCTGTGGTGCGTACTAGTATATGTTATAGTAAAGTAGAAATTGTTATTGCCACATTGAGTCTGACCCTGTACTTGGTTTGTGAGGGCATAAACGTACAATTAAAAATCCGCGGCCGTAGACAGCACGGTGGTACAGAACTAGTTCAAAGACATGAAGAAGCCACTCATCTGGTTCAAAATATTGAACTTATTTTCCTTTTTTTTTTACTGTACGCTTACAAAATCTACTTCAATAGAAACCTGACTATAAAGTGTGCTTGCATCTTTATATTCATTTTCTTTTCTGATTGTAGCAATGTCGAAATGTGCAACTGTTGTAGTTAATTGGTGATTCGTGTTGTCTGTTATAATAACGTGGGTTATTTTCGTCGTTGTAATATATTTACCTTCGCCAAGAAGGTTATGTTTTCAGAGGCGTTCGTGTATGTGTATGTGTATGTGTGTCCGTCCGTCCGTCTGTAAACACGATAACTTGAGAAGGTCTTCATGGATTATCTTAATAATTGGTAGGTGGGTAGGTCTTGATGAGACCTAGAAATGATTAGATTTTGGACCCCCTAGCGGCTTGTTATGGTACTGCAGCTGAACTTCCGGTTTTGATATCTCGTGATCTGGACGTGCTATGGTCACGAAATTTAAATGGTAGGTAGCTATTGTGCTGGGAAAGAAGTGACGTGAGTTTGGGCCCCCTAGCGGCTTGCTCTGAAACTGCAGGGCTATCTGTTTGAAAAATATTCAAAAGAGGATATCTGAAGAACCGGTTGACGGATCGTCGTGATTTTTGGTATGTAGGTAGCTTACGTAATGCTTGATATAATTATGTGACAATTATGCAAATATGTATGTAATTTTTTCCTTGCAGCTGAAAGTTTGCAGGACACCTGCACGAGTATTCCCTCAGTTTACAGGATCGCACGATGTTCATACGACATGTGTGATCGGCTATTACAGCTGCGCACGCGGTTGGAAATTTCATTTCTTTCAAAGAGTTACGTGTCGTGGTCAGCTTACGACACTAGCGTGGAAGAACTTGGCCGCTTTACAATAGCAGTAGCTCGTGTGCCAAATAAGTTTGAGCTTTACTATAGCCAGGTAATTACGTAACACACTTGCCTAACCTCATATATAATATAATGTAAAATATAGAAATCCAAGAAAACGAAATTGTCTACCCAAGGACATACATTGTCCTTGGTCTACCGTATAACTTCCGCTTATCCAGTCGTATATTTTCATTACTTCCTTCCAACTTTCATCGCGTTTTACATTTCTCCTTGATTTCTTCCAAATACTAGTACGCAAAACCATTTTCACTTGTTCAACGTACACGTTGGGAAGAAGACAAACGAGGAACATTTATTGTCAGATCACAAGCGCTTTCCTAATACGTTTCGTCCCTCTCGAGGTAGAGAATTACAGCCATAGTTGGCCCTTTTGCCCCAAGCGAGTGCCGATAGCTCCGAGCACATCTGATAGCAATCTGGGGCGAATGAACGCCAAGCCTCCAAACTTGGCAAGGCCCCGGCTTGGTCCGTGCCGCCCGCCTGCGAGAGGCCCTGTGAAGGGGGGCAGGCATTCTTCATATACCAGAAGCGGCTGAGAACTTCTCACGTTACAAACACGTCTAATGGGTATTGTTTTAGAAGGCTGGAGATACAGAAGAAGGTAACTCTACACCGCTTGCTGAGTAGTGTTAGACATGCTCTTATTGTCGCTGTGAGTGACAGGGTGTCCGGACACGACAATGCCCGTCCTGTTCTCTATTGATGACAAAAGACGCGTGGACCAATCAGCGGCGCAGCCCGACCATTCCCAGTCTTTGTAAATACAAAACACACATCCCGTTTCATTAGCCCGCGTCCAGTCCAGCCGAGTCGGTGCGTACCGTACGGTGCATGTGTGCGTGAGTGTGTCGTGCTTACTCGGTGTCTGTTCAACTTGAGGAAGACATGGCAAACGCGGTGGAGAACGTTAATCCGAACGTGAACCAGGGAGTGGATATGGGAGCGGGGACTCCCGGGGTCCAGACGAGCCAGACTATCAACGGGGGCGACACCGCCTCGACCCTGACGTTTTCTCCCGAGCAAGTCGCCTGCGTCTGCGAGGCTCTGCAGCAAGGAGGGGACATCGAGAGATTAGCGCGATTTCTCTGGTCCCTGCCGCCCAACGAGTTGCTGAGAGGCAGCGAGAGCGTGCTGAAGGCTCGGGCCATCGTGGCTTTCCACGGGGCAGTTTTAAAGAACTCTACGCCATTCTGGAGAGCCACAACTTCGACACGTCCAACCACCAAATGCTGCAAGACATGTGGTACAAGGCTCACTACATCGAAGCACAGAAAATCCGCGGCCGTCCGCTCGGAGCTGTGGACAAGTACAGGCTGAGGAGAAAATTCCCGCTCCCTCGGACCATCTGGGACGGCGAGGAGACGGTCTACTGCTTCAAGGAGAAGGCAAGACAAGCCCTGAAGGAGATGTACAACAACAACCGGTACCCGACTCCGGACGAGAAGCGAAACTTAGCCAAGAAGACGGGCCTCACGCTCACACAAGTCAGCAACTGGTTCAAGAACAGACGACAGAGAGACAGGACTCCGTCCTTACACAAGGGGTAAGTCATATTGGTTAGGAGCCGAGTTTTTCCACATGTTGTTATCGCAGGCGCTGATTGAGCACAGCCATGCCGACATGACAGACCCAAACCAAAACAAACCACGCCAGTTTATTGCTCACTCTCCTTCCTCAATTAACTCGAGCAGATTTGCTTTACAATGGGGCCATATCCTGTTATACGGTGTTTTGTTGTCTACCCGTCGGTAGTCCCGTCCCCCTCCATTCACGCTTACCTAAATATTTGGAAGGGGGACCTTTTACAACAAGTCAAGAAACTGTGAATGGTTGTGCCGGGGGGATTTGAGCCACATACCGACGTCTCGCGTCAGTGGCAAGACCTACCCCCGTGTCTACCCAGCCCTCCGGTGTGAGTTATAATTATCCTCGAGAGCCACTCCAAGCACAACACAAGAGTGTGTGTGTACACGTCAGTCCAACATGCTTTCTCCCTGACTGAACCCGTATGTATGTACCCACACACCCCAAATCATTGACTCCCCAACACTACATTATCTTTTGTCACAGACGACCCAAAGTTTACATTTACGAATTCTACGAACTCTCCCCGCGCTGACCTGGATACACATCCAGGACAACTACAGCTCCTAGAAAAGTCAACCCCAGATTCCCACACACACACATTGGGGTGTGAACTCCCACTAGGATAAGTCCCTCCCGGTGTATATTCTGTTGTTTATACACCTGCGAGTACGCTTAGGCACTAAGGTCTGTAGGCAAACGCAACAGAGGCTCATTAGATTGGAATTAGTCCAGCCATGCTCTGAGGAAATATGTTCTAGGAGTCCGGGTGATCACGACATGTTGTTTCTGTTTTCACTACATGGCTCTGTGTAGTAGATTGGAAGGCTAAGAGAAATGTGGCGCTGACAAGTGTTGACTGTAGAACGGATTTCACCAACATGAGGTCGGGCCTAAACTCAAAGTTGTCTGTCAAAATTGGCGCTCCAGTTGTCGGCGAAGCCTTGGTTTATGACGGTTATATTTCTGGTGTAACGCCTCTACGTTTATAGTGGCTCCACCAGCTCACGTGCTTGACATTTTTTGTTTGTATACTTTTTTTCCAGACGACAAGGAACGTCCGTGTCAAAATGGCGGCCACTGGTTACAGATCGGCCTAACCTAAACCTGTCACTGACTGTCTCCCCGTAAGCCCCTCTCTATCCATGTGCCCCGTAAGGTCACTCACTCTCCGAACCTGTCAAATTTTGTGTTTGCTCGATTTATTTTTTATGTTTTTGTCGCCTCCCCTGCTGGCTTAATTATATTTTGACACCTCGATCAAATCAAAGTGTTAAAAGTAAACGTCTCCCGGGGCGGTGCATTCCAACCCCCGGCCCAGGTCTTCAATAGACGGGGTTTTCATGTCTCCGCTCCGTTGATGATATTTACGTTTCGGAGTTTATGTTCTAGTACACTCTTGACCCTAACGATTGTAGAATTTGGAAGAATTTTAGGGGCTAACCCACGAGAGTTTATTTTTACAGTGACTGTACCCAACGTACTAGAGGCTCCAGAACTCAGCCTTTCATAACGCAGACGTTACTCCACAAGTATTCCTGTAGTCTGCTCTTCTACGCATTCATTTTATCAATATTCAAATACTCGGCCAACCTTTCCCGAAGCGAACACCATGCATAATAACAACACGTTTTACAGGCCCGTGTAATGATTTATGGTTGATTGAGAAGTTGAAGTAGACAATAGTCCACTTTACCGTCCAATGGATTTTACACGCATGTGTTGCTCATTTGAAGCGATGACGATTTATTTCTTTATGGCTTGCTCTCTGTGGGTACTCAAGTGTTCCAGTCAGTTTAATTTTGTCCATCCTCACGTCTTGTAGTAAGGAAAGACATGTTGTACGGAGAACTTAGAGAAGATAGACAAAACAAAATTATTCTGAACGATTCTCTTTGCACTTGACTAACTGACGACTACAAGACGTCACGAAAAACAGTGATGAAGCTAGAAAAGACTTGAACCTGTAACGTTATATGTACTCGCGGTCTTTCCAATGTCGCAGAAACTACTGCTTCGAAGATTTGTTTGTTAAATCTGTCTTGGAAAGGTCAACTCGTCGTATTTGTTCAGAAGGCAACTGGAGACGCAGGGGTCCAAAGTTTCTACTACAAGACCACATTGCACGGACCCGTCCTGTTACGATAACAGTTGACTTTGGCAGTGGGTTGGGATGGGGAGGGGGGGGGTGTGGTTGGTAAGAAGAAACAGTTATAACTGTCTGATTCTTTTGTTTGGAAGCATTTCCTTTTAACTGTGTGCCAAACACGCGGTTCAGTCGTATGGTTTCCTGTACCTGTACTATTCAAGGAAGAGGAACATGTAATAATTCTGGTCGTCCTGATTATATCTTTTTAAGTATCCACATATATACGAACTGTATCAGACGCATACAAATCAAAATATGTTGTAATGTGTTGCGGTGATTGTGATTGTAGATTGGAGACATTTTGAATTTTTTTTCTTGCTAGACAAAACAGTGCCTGTATAATCTAAAGCCAAGCCTTGTGTTTTCTTCGAAAAAGGCTGTAAAATTAATAAGAAGGAAAAAAGGAAAGATTGTAACTTAAGATTCACTTGAACGACGACAACCTAGCTTGTCTTTTCTAGTGACGAAGACAGACAGCTATTTTTCAGTGTTGTGTTCATCACATGTTGATTTTCCGATTCCACATTCTTATTTTGTCGTTGGGTAGCAACAAAACGGAACCCAAAACAGCTCGTTGTTTAGGGAAAACAAGGGCATATCTTCACGACAAACAACAACTGGGTGACGCTTCTTCTTATGTAACTATCTCAAGCCCCTGTCACACACTCCCGAACGCTAGCCGATCGCCCCCCAACCATGGTGTAGGTCGGAGCAAGGTGGGCTAGTGTTCGGCGACGTGGATAGGCTACTTTCGGCCGCGCCAGCCGAAATGTTTGAGAGGTTCGGCCACGGCTAGCTGGTGTTCGGTTGGCCTGTAAGTTAGCAGAAACACCAGCCAACCATTCGGGAGTAAGCCAGTGGTGTTCAGGGTGTGTTGGGAGGTCGAATTTGACTCAAATTTAACTCAAATTCGTTTCGATTCGTATAGCAAGATAGCTGACCAGACTTCTCCCGACCTTGCTAGGCTGGTGTATCGGGGGTAATGTCGGGGAGGGTTTTAAACGGACAGGGGCCTCAGAGGCAATATTTTCTCGCAGGTCAAATTCAAAGATAAACACAGAGATACAGGACGCGTCATGTACTGGCCAAGCCCAAGGGACGTTGGTTTCTGTCTACGTCGATTGGTTTTCTTTCAGTCCACTGTTAATTGCTTTCGTCAGAGAGATACTAGTATCTAATCGGTAGATTCTGGTGGAGCAACTGTCAACGTCATAATTCTTTTTGAGTATTTGTGGATGGATTTTTTTTTAATTTTCTGCATGGGGGTAGCTGTTGTGAAAATGTAGTTCAAGGTCAAAAATGGCCCACCTGGCTTTTTCCAATTGTATTGCAGCGGAGTTTTATGCATTTGTACTTATGCAGGATAACTCGAAAATTTGTCAATGGATCTTAATGATATTTGGTAGGTGAGCAACGGTTATGGAAACAAAGTTCAAGTTCGAATATGGTTATCCTATCATGTTCCTTCGTTTCTACAGAGAGGTGTGTATTTTCGGGCTTTTGTGTGTGCGGACAACATAACTCGAGAAAATGCGTATGGTTGTTAATGATATTAAGCGGTTAGGTAGGGACAGGAAAGACGCAGGTCAAATTCTATAATGGGCCTCCTAGCGGCTGTTTTAGGTATTGCAGCGGAGTTTGAGGCAAATTTTCCTGAAGTGTTAGGTTCATGATATTTAAGAAGTCGAAAGCTGTTAAAGCTGGGAGTATGTGGTGTAATTTTTGGCCTCCTAGCAGCTTCGTTGGAACTGCAGTGGGCATTTTTGTTTCAAAGTTTGATTTCAAATAACTGGAGCACAGGTGGATGGTTTTCCATTGTTTTTGGTAGGTACGTGCCTTATGTGAAGATAAACATAAATGAGATGCATATATGCACATATTTTTCCTTTTTTCTATTTTGTTTTGTTTTGTAATTGGGATACTGTCAGCAATTCGTAGTATAAAATAGAATGTGTTTCTATCCTTTTTTGGGCATGGATAGATGAAGAGTTCAACAATAAGATTTCTGATATTTTGGCGTGATAAAAATTGCAGGAAAAAACATGTATTACATTTCCATATGTTGAGTCAACATGGGTGTATCTGTAGACTTTGGATCTATGCCCAATTCTTGTAGATATATCGGAATATCAGATGTATACGAGTACCTTCACACAAAGAAGTTGTGTATAAAACACGAGTCTTTCATCAGGAAGGGGGCAATAAGGGGGTTTCAAGTTCATTCCGAAATAAGTTGCGATGGCATGGTTATATACGTATATATATATATATGTGTGTGTGTATATAGGTTGATTTACGCTTTGAAGTCTTTCTTTGACATACATAGTTGGACAATCGTTCAAAATCTGCAAGCTAAGTTTGGAGTTTACTAAACACAACAAAAAAACTCCAAATTACGGATATGTTATTCAGGGAGATGGCGACAAACAAATAAACAAACAAATCGTTACGATAAAGATGTAACTGTTGGTATTATTTTTCACACAGGGACGACAGACACAGTGGACTGGACAGCGGTGACGAAGACTTGAAGGGTCATCTGAACGGCGACCTCTCACACGACCTGTCCCAACTGACCGCACGAGTGGACAAGATGGACAGCAGCATAGCGACCACGCCGGTGCATGCGCAGCAGCAGCAGGCGCAACTCCAGCACCATCACAGCGCGCATGCGCACCACATGGTGGGCTTGGACTTCCCCGGTGACGTCGAGACCAAGTCGTGCGTTCCGACGCCTCACGAACTTCTGGGATCGTGCTCGGCCGTGGAAACATCCGTACTCTGCACGCCAGTCAGCACGATCGTCAAAGGCGAGCCTAGTCAGTAAAAAAGAAACAAACAAAACAAGATCAAATCTCTCCATTCCTAAGACTTTCACTCTCCAAAAATATACTTCATACACTCCATATTTTCTTTTCATAACTTTCGATTTGACATCATGTCACTAGTCATTCCGAATGTTTTGTTTGATTCTTTTTCTATACCTTGGCAGCATTCCTTCCCCGGCTGTCTAGTATCTTCTTTTCTTCCCCAAACATTGTACATACCATGTGGTTAGGGCGTGTTTTATCCCTTATGAAGTGGTGCCAAATGCTTCTTCATGTAAGAGATGTAAAATGTTGTGCGTGTGCACGTGTTGTTTTGAGACCAGCAATGCGCATGTGTAGTAGATCCAAAATGGATGCTTTCAATTCAGAACCCCCCTTTACATATATAGCAGTTTTGCTTTGTATATTCTATATGTAATAGGAAAACTTGATATTATATGTGCAGTCTTAAACGTAACGTATTTTTGTTGGATGATATTACGGAACCACGATGTCTCCCTAGATATATACTTTCTATGAAGGTTGTTTCCAACACTAGGGGGAAAAAGTTGTCTTTTTTGTAACACAGGGTTTCGTCTCACTGTTGTTTTTGTGGAGTTAGAACACACACGAAGAGTTTTGACACCCGTACTCGAACTTTTTCCGTTATTTTGCCGTTCCTTGCCGTGTTTGACATGTAATTATCTTCAGTTTTCCGACAACATCAAACTTTGGCCCCTTGTGGAAAAAAATAGGCCATCAGCCAAGGGCAAACATCGTCGCCTTATATGGAAGTCTCCTAGACCTGTCATGTCGAATGTAGTCGAAAATTCGTCGCCGCGCATACATCTTTGTGACAACCCCTTACGAATCGTGTTCAAGTATGCTCTTAGTATTTCCTTGTTCAGATTTGCCGAACTGTTATTATTGATGTAATATTTGTATACCAAAGAATCGTGAAGTAAAACTTCATTCTGCAGAAGCTAGTGATTTTGTGTGTCGCAAATATCTACGCACTTTCTTTTCACACACTGACGTGGGGCAGGTGGGGAGGGGGGCATTCAAGACCCGACCATTTCCCCCATATGTTCAAGTGCTATCACCAAAAGCGGAACTAAACGCACATGATAAATGCTGTATGTCCCATAACTGGAACTAGACAAGCCTCCTGCTGGTCGTTTAGCAGCAATAAACTATCCCATTGTTATACAACAAGCCCGGTTTGTGTTGATGGTCCCCCCGAGAATTCCAAACAGATTTAGAAAACCCCCGAGTCCCGCGATGTACGGCCGTAGCGATTTCATGCCGTAGAAAGCACTTGCAGCTTTCACTACTTTTTTTGTTCTTATTCATAACCCGGAGATTTTAAGGCTTCATTTCTACCATATTATATACATTTGGGGCCCAAACTCCCGCATGATAATCACCAAAAGAAAAGACTTGGCTCCGTTTTTTTTTGCCGATTTTATGTCGTTCGTAGCAGTGCCTCGAAAAGGAAATAGCCTACATAAAAGGCTTTTTTTTGCTGTTGTTGATACAAATAAATAAACCAATAAATAAGATAAATATAAAAGAGTTCCGTTATGTTTTGGTCCCTGGCTATGCCTGTCATATACATATGACCTGTACTTAGCCAGTGTCTTCCAATGTATTGAGATGCCAAAAAGTAACACACAAGAGGGTTTGTTACAAAATATGCTTTTTGGAGCATCTCGTTGTGAACTGGGTGTATGTAGGCTGGGAGGTTGAAACGTCCTTAGAACGTTCTTGGTGGAGGCAACTCTTGTCCATGTTGAGACCTCTAGCCTCTACCAGGCTTGAGGGCGCGGCTGGAAATAGTAGAAATTGGCCAAGTAGAGAGATAACACGCCGAGGGAGTTTAGCCATCCAGTTTACAGTTTGCCGGCCCTTTGGCGTGTTATCTCTCTACTTGGCCAATTTCTACTATTTCCAGCCGCGCCCTCAAGCCTGGTAGAGGCTAGAGACCTCGCAGAGCGCCCACGAAAAGCACACATCGAGGATTAGGAGCTGTGAAGCTCTCTCGTCATGGGGGTAAACGTCAATGTGGTTTTGTGCCACCCCGGGAGTAACAGACTACCACTGTTAAAGGTTGTTTTTGGTACGGCTTATGGACTGAAGGGGGTTCAACATGCATATCGGATGAGGTAATGCTGTTGCTATTCACGTGTATGATGACTCTCACTTCCCGACCCCCTTTGGGATCTCTAACCTTAACCTTGGGCTTCAGGTCTTCTATAGACGGGTCCTTTTCGTGACATCGCCACCCTACAGTTTTCCTTCCAACAATGCACCGCAAACGGGCTAACTACAGTTCCCTGAGAGTTGTAAAAGGAGGACGGCTACAAATCGATAGAGGCGGCTGGGTTGACGGAGAGACTTTAGATAAGGAAAGTCTCGCACACAATGGGTCTATGTAACCTTACACTTCCATCCACCGCTGCCTCTAACACGCGCGAGGGGAGAAAAATCTGCCATTTGAGAAGCTAATTGATCCGGGGTGCTGACACCCATTTCACGGGATTTATGATAGATCGGATTATAATCTACGCTCCGGCTCCCGTCTTTAGAAACCCTACTCGCTACCGAGACACCAGGGGGAACCTAGGGGAAATAAACCCAGCGGAAAACACGTTCACACTTATTGATTTGTCAAGAGTAAGTCATTGAGATGTAAATGTATATTGTACTTCCCTCTGTATACAATGACATAACAATACGACCATTAGTGGGGAATGGCAATGGCAAAGCAGACGGGACCGGGGTTCTTGTATGCATACACGAGTGTATTAGTAAATGGAGACGCGGAGAATATAACAGGGCAACTTGTGTCAGTGCACCTGTGATTGGAAAGATATTAGAGTCTTTTTTCTTGTACATGTACTAGGTCCCCGCCAGCCATTAGCCTCCACCAGACTCTTTTGCAGGCTGAATGAATAGTAGAAATAGGCCTAAAAAGAATGTAGCTGGCCAGGGGTGTTGGCCGACCAGAGAGGATCCAGTTTGTCTGCATAAAAGAATGCAACTGGGCCCTCTATGGCCTACCAACTCCCCTGGCCAGCTACATTCTTTTTAGGCCAATTTCTACTACTCTCCAAGCAGAGGTTGTGGGGGAATGATCGTTACATTTTTATATATGGCCGGGTTTTTTTGCACGGTGGTCTAAAACGGCCTCAAAAATCCCCACTCGTAGCTAATTAATATTTATGAAAATAAGATGTCCATCACACTTGTCACCATTGGCAACTGTCCATGATTGGTTGACACTTTTGTGGGCCGGCTCTAGGAATGTTTACCTTGCTGCATGCCCCCTGCGAATTTCTCCCGCCAACTGTTCTATTCATATGCGCACTTCTCCTGATCCACAATTGTTCTAATTTCACACATTCTAACAATACATAGCGTGGGTACAAGCTATGATCATTTTCTGGCCTGGTACATACAAACACAGAACAACAGTTTCTAACTCTCTGTATAATTCAGTTGCGATCAAAACGTAAAATTACTCAGATAGCGGTGGCCACTAGGTTACCCTTGACCGGCCAAGATCGGGCAAGAATTCGAAGAACGCCGATAAGCCAAAATCCTCGATGAGACATAACGTTTTAGACCATTTTTTTACCTCCATGGTTAGACTACATGTTACTAAAAAGGCCTTATACCCTTTTCTGCAAAATATAAAATAAACACTGACTCGTACTTTAAAGTGATCTTGTTGTTTGCAAATATACAAAGAAACAAACGTTACATTAGGAGGAGTGCTATTTTGTAACACTGCCGACGTCGATCTTTCCACTCTGCGTTGTTGTTTTGATTTTGTCAGCGCCATCTTGGTTTCCCTATTTCCCAGTGTTTCTTGAACGCAACACGTTTAGATCTTATTATTTTAGACATCCCCGCGAGTTAACACTTCTTCTGTAGTTATCTCTTTATTTCCTCTGGACGTTGTTTCCGAGATCGGCAACACTTCGGCAGAACCAAGGACAAGACATGAGACGTTTCGGCTAGAATAATGCCGCAACAAGTTACTACACAATCTCAAGTTGGCTTACACCACTGCTTGTATTTACAACAATATACTAGTACATGGACTGTATTTAGCCACGTACATTGTATTTATGTACAATAAAGGTCTAGAATGAATTTCTAAACAATTATTTGTAGTATGAGCAAGGACATTATACGTAATGTCCTTGGTATGAGCATTTATGTAACTTCAAGGGGTGAGAGTAGGCATAAAGCCCAAGCCGCGTCTTTATCTCGGAAACTGTAAACAGGTTGACGAAGGAGGTTGAATATTTTTATTTCTAAACCTTCTTGCCTTGGCTGGACAGAACAAAAACTGGGAAAAATGTGTACCTCGTTCGCAGATTTGAAAATCCCGGGCAATTATCACGCTTGGGGAGCTCAGCGAATACAATGGCCGCTTGGGCAACGAATTTGAATATGTTTGTTTTTTGAACAAAAGGGCGCTAAAAATGCCCTCTCTTCTCCTCATTATAACTCCAAAACATTTCAACATTCCCATGTGGAAAATGTACATTTCATATTTTGAGAAATATCTGAAGTTTGTCAAAATAGAATTTGATCAAACCAACACGACCGGAAAGGTTACAACGCCGCCGCCATTTTGTCTTTTGGAAATTCGCGTACGTTCTCGCCGAAAGGGAATATGGGAGAAAATGTACCAAAAATTTTGAAAAATAAGTTAAAATCTTCTAGACAGCCAAAACCTGAGAACGTAGCGAAATTTCCAAAGGCAGATCTTTAGATAATACCTTTAGGTGTTGTTTTACGCACAAATTTAAAAAATGAGTTTTGAAGGTAAAAGGTCAACGACCGAAAATGACATTTGCACATGGGCCGGGCGTTGGCGCAGTGAAGCTCCGTGTTAGCTTGTCACTTCTTTATCTTTATCCAGTTTCATAACCAACATATCGATTTTGTAGGTTCCTATTTTAGTTTTTCTGTAGGATTGCCCGGTCGTGAGTTTTTTTGTGAAATATTCGGGCCCGCTGCTGGGTGTTATGGAGACATGCCTGCCAGACACTTAGTGGGCGGGGCCTATTCACATAGCAACGGGGATTTTTGCATAGTGACCAGACCATCGTGTTGTCCGGACCTTCTCTGGCTAATGGATACTGCCTGGCCAATTTGATACTGTCTTTTTGCCACCGAGAGGGATCTGCTTGGAGATTAAATTTCTACTATTTCTTCAGCCTGCAAAAGAGCCTGGTGGAGGCTACCTGGCCACAGTGAAGGCCCAATGGTGCCTTTGAGTAGAAACACGACTCCAAACAACCTCTCTCAGAAATAGCATGTCAGAGGTCTGAACCAAAGCTTTTTTCTTTCATGATTTGAAGTAGAAAGTGTGCGCCATCTGTCAGAGCGATAGGGATGGAAAGTACCGTGACCGTGCGCGTGTGGTGATTATGACAAATTCACCAATTATGCGGTGAAGCAAAATGGACGCATACACCGGAACGTATCACTCTTTTGCTCTAGGGATGGGGGGGGGGGGGTGAAAATTCTTTATAATTGGAAGACGAAATTCATTTCATCTCTAACTGTCCATTTTATGACGACATCAGAAAACAATTATTTAGCACTGAGTCGAAAATGCTCCCTTACTTCCCCACCATTCCCTACCACAAAAAAATTTACTACTAAAACCAAAGAACCCACATATTGTAGAAGAAGTGAGTAAATTCGTCTTCCATTGCCTAAAAAGAAGAAGTCAAACCCAGTAAAACTAGTACCATGTATGTTGTAGAATATAGTATAATGCTAGACGTAGATATAGTCTCACATACCACTGTATTTTCTTTCTTATGTTGTTTGTAACTGCAATCAACCCTCGGGCAAGTATTTGCAATAAACTTTCTATAATACAAAATGTATTGGGATTCAAACTTCAAACTTTCCAATGTGTTTTCAAATTACACGAAATCTTGTCTTGCA